TAATGAGTGACATAATTTATTAAAAACTGTCTGTAGACCATATTTTAAAAGTTATTACTAAATGCACAAAACCAGCTTCTCCCTTCCTAGCAGAATACAAAATACTCCTGCAATCTTCAATACATCATTAGACCACTCTGCAAATTCCTTTTTCATACTTGTTGCCAATATAACCTTTAGCCGAGTTCTGTGTTAATGAAGTTCCACTGTGCCGTAACAAAATGAAAAGTACTGAGTTCTCAAAAAGACTTTTTATCCTTGATGGGCCCAGGATATTTATAAGGCACCAAATCATTTCCTTGCCTCTAAAAAAATCTGTCTTTCCCTTGGCAACTGTTCAGCATTCTAATTGGAATAAACACATAGACTACTAATGCACACCACTTAAACGTGCAGTCAGTTTTGAGAAGACAGCTTGAGGGATCATCTTTTGGGCTACAAAATTAGACCAGGGAGGGGGCTCCAGTGATGACCCTATCTTATACCCTTAAGGATACAGACTAGTATCACATCTGAATATTATTTGCCATGTTTTTTTTTTTCTTACTACAGTTTCTAACAAACAACCATACGCTGAGTGATAGGTTAGACAAAATACATTCCAGAATATTTATCTTTTGCATGGAATAAATAGAAATATCACTAGTAGTTTTTTTGTCTGTACTTTGCTTCTGTTTCATGGCTGCTACAAAAATGATAGATGGTCATGAAACTTGAACATAGAGGAATTATGCTAAATTAATATCATTTTTTTCTTTACTCTGGACAAAACATCTCACCCTCCACTTAACATCTGTTTTCTGCATACATGAGAATTTCCTCAGATGCCAGAATGAAAAGTCTGCATATGTATTTTGGTTTTCTGTTTAAAATCACAATCTGAGACGACATTCCAGTGTTAGGATATAAATCAGAACTGCATCACTCTACTTAACAAAAATTTTACTAATTTTCCCATTAGTAAACATTACTGATTATTTTTAAAAATTAACCTACATTTTTTCAGATCAATTTCTTCTAAGTTCTTAACCAGTTTACTTGCTACCTAAGTGGTAGGATGACCACTGTCGTCTTTAAAACCCTCAAGTCCTACTCTAGAATATATTTTGGATCATGTTTAACATGGTGTGCAAAATGGGCCATCGAGCTACAGAGGCAGCCAGCATGGCTTGCCACTGAGTCTCATGGATTCTGACCGGGGTCTGGTTGAGTGGTCTGAAGCATCACTGTGTGGATCAAGAAGCATGGCCATGACCCACTTGAACGACCAATCGTGCAAGGCTATAGGCTGCTGACTTACAGGTTCATATTTGGTGACACAAACACACTTTCTTTGCTAAGCACCTTTAAAGAGACGGTTCATGATAACTGTCATATGTTCATTTAAATAGAAAAAGTCCTGCAATGTGTAAAGCACACATACGTACTTTCCCATGAAAATAAAACTGCTCCAAAAATTGCTATGCCTCCTTGCACAAAATAAGAGACAAATAACTGCTGAGTCTTCTCTGGGAAGCTTATGTAACCTATATTTACAAATGTTTTACCCTGAGGCAAACAGCTTGAGAATTTAGTAGACATTCTCAGAGTACCCCCCAATTTTTCCGACTGTGATGTTAGTCTGGCTATCAAAGAGCTGCAGAAAGTACCTTGCTATCCATTACAGCCCCCAACGCCATCTGATTAAAAAAGTGGCAGATCTCAAAAACTAAGAATTCAGAGCTACGGCCAAGAAGAACATTAAATAAACAACCACTGCCACCAACCTTTGGTTGGGCCTCTGGCGCTGTCACCTTGACGACTTTGTTGCGATTTATCATTTGCTTCACCCATCTTTCTACTTGGACGTTGAATTTCATGAAAACCACATAGCCAAAGTAAGCTGTCAAGAGAAGCAAGCTCTCCCACCACATGATAAAGTTATCCAGGAAAAATATGATCAGCATGATTAAGTCAATGATGTAGAAGGACACATCCCGAAAGAGAGGCCACCAAGTCAGGTTTAAGATTTCTCTTGAAAATAGAGCACACATGCCAATGACAAAGAGGATATTGAACACGGCTGAGCCCACGATTGTGCCAATGCCAACATTGCTGTGAGCAATGAACACCCCTATGAGAGACGTGAAAAGTTCTGGCGCTGAGCCCCCGGCAGCCATAAAGGTGGCTCCAGCCACATCATCAGAGATGCCCAGTTTTTCAGTGATGACAGTCAACGAGGGAACAAAGAACTCATCACAGACAATGGCTAAGGCTATGAACATGTAGATCATCCCAATGACATGGAGAATGATGGCGCCTTTTCTTCGTTGCTCGAGGGAAAAGATGTCTCTGGGGTAGTCTCCTTGGGCATGATCTGTACTATTCTCAGATATGCCTTCCTGAGAAAGAGCTGGCTGTGGAGTATAATCTCGAATCTTGTCATTTAAATCTAAGAGAGTTCTTTCATGGTAACCGTGTGCTGCCCCGGGGCCACTTGCACCACCGACCTCTCCTGTGCTCTGGGTCTCTGTCTCAGAAAAGGCACGGATTGAAAACGGGACAGTGCTAATGGCTACCAGGCCCAGAAAAAGGCCTAGGATTCGAATCAACTTCAGTTTTTTCCTGACATTATAATGTCTCCTGCAGCCAGACGGTGACTTATCTGAATACCATTTCTCAAGGAAAGAGATGGTAGCGCTTTGGTGCAGATCCATCCTGGGTCTTCTGGTGGATGTGATGGTTCTAAATTTGTGGACTCAACCAGATGGTTCTTTCATACTTTTCTTTACAGGTAACAGTGCTTGCAAGGTGCTTCCACAATCAGGGATTCTTAGGCTTCACAGGAAATATTTTCAACATTTACGCTTAAATAAAAATAAAAACAAGGATACGTGAATCATAAAATCATGTTTTTTTTTTTTTTCTTACAAAACAATTTGGCAGTTATGAAAAAAATCCTATCCTATAGCCAGCCATGTGACCTTGGGTTAAATTCCTTAATTCTTCTGTGCTTCAGTTTCCCCATTTCAAAAATTAGGACAATTACAGCACCTACCACCAAGGAATGCTTTGAGGATGGGTTAAAAGATATGAAGCATTAAGAGTAGGATGTGACATATTAGGCATTTATTATAATGTGTGTACAAAGGCAAACATTTGGGTAAATACATAGACTATATATTTGTGTGTCTTAAATTTAAAAAAGTGTTATAGATGTATATGAAAATCTCTGTTTATCCCACCTTAAATCATGTAACAAATAATATCCCGGTGCTCAAAAAGGTATCACTTCCTTTAGAATTATCTACATATTTGACAACCAAATCATTGCCTTATCTTTTGGTCCAATTATATAATTCCAGTTGCAGGCACACTTTTCGGATTTAATCTGTCACTTGGAAAGGGCTGAGTGCTGGAGGATCAGCACTCTTTTTCTGGACACTTAATACTCTCAGGCTCTTATTTTTCATGAAAACCCTCTCCTGTATATCAAATACAGATAAGAAGCCCTTTAAAATTTTAAGTTTAAAAGAATGTTCTGATGATGTGAACAAACCGTCTTCCCTAAATATCTAGATATTATTTTCAGCTAAAGCTTAAAACAAACAAAAAAAAACCTTTAGTCATATTTAAAATACACAACTTGGTAAATCAAACAACTCCTAACAAGTAGGCTATTTCAAGAGATCAAATAAGTATTTCATAAATAATATGCATGTTGCAGTAATACCTCTGTCCACAAAAATCTGCCCAAAATAGCCCTGACACTGACCCTCTAGTAGGTTAGACAGCCAAGCAGTTTTCATTCTCAGCCTCTACAGAGAAGGGTGAAATACCTAGATATGACAGTTGACATTCTTAAGATTCCTCTTTTTAATTTCTTTTAAAAACGGCTTTGATTGAGGGGGGTGGTTTTTTCTTGTATCAACGATTTCATTTTAGAGGCATTCGCTGAGATCATCTCAGGTGTAAAACAAGCTAATTAAACACGCGCCAGCTATACACTGAGATTAGCTGGAACTCAGGTTTGCAGAGGGAGCCCAAACCAACCCAGGCTGAGATGCTGTTCCTCCTGAGATAAACCTAACCCCGCACAGATTCCCGGCTGGCTGGCAGATGTCTATGCTTAGCGTGAACGATTAAGCGACTCACTGCGCTCCGGGGATTGTCACAATGCTGGGCGGGGGCAAACAGCACGGACGGACACAACTCCCAGGGTGCGCTATCGCCGGAGCCTGACTCGACCTGCAAACCCACAGATCCGCTCCACGCGAGCTGCCTCCGCCAGCCAAGTGCACCCCCAGCCGCGCCCCAACTTTGCCTTGTGTGGTCCCAAACTTTCCCTAGTGGGTTCACAGGAAAATAAAACTAAAGGACAGACGCCTTACTAAAGAACCGGGAGCTGGGATGGGGCTTGGCCGGCATCTCCCAGAATCGCTGGTGAAGGGGAGAGCCCCTCTTAGCGCCTCCCCGACAGCAGGCCCCCCACTACCCGGAGCCGGAAGCAGGGCGGTTTGGGTGGGAGAAGCAGGGGGAGCTCAGAAGCCGCACCCGGCAGCGGAGAGAGTTGGCTAACTCCTTTCGGGGCCTGGGGCGCCCACGTCCACCGCGAGGCCACCTGTGAGTCTGCCGCCAGATGCACACCATCAGGATCCAGGGACCCCGACCTCTGCAGCTCCCGAGCCCGGCCGCTGGTCTGGGTTTGGCCGCCCGCACTTACCGGGATCCGCCAGGAAGACGCGCACACGGCGGGGACCCGAGCGCGGCCCGCCGCTCCGGTCCTCCGCCTCCTCCGGCCCTCCGCCTCCTCGCTCCGAGGCCCGGGCTGCGGCTCGCGCTCGCCGCCGCTCTCGCCGTCCGGGGCTGGGCTCGGGAGGAGACTGAGCCGCCGCGAGCCCCGCGCGCCGCCTCTGGTGCTGCCCGGCCCCCCTCCGGCCCCTCCCTCTCGCCTCTGCGCGGGGAGCGTGGCCGCAGCGCGCTCGGCTCCCGCGCCCTCTGCTCCACGCCTCCTGGGCGCAGAGGCGACGCCGGCTGCCGTCTCTTAGGAGATTTCTCCGCAGTGGGGACAGGGGTCAGGATTTGCAGACGGGCGAGGACGAAGAGGAGAAATCATACAGGTCGGTGACGCGCCTGACTCCTTAGACCTGAAAGTATTGCCAACTTTGGGGTCATCTCTGCCAGGCCCCTTCTTTCCATTTATCTGCAGAAAGTGCCATCAGTCACATATTTCTTTAGGAGGCGATGTAATGTTTAATGATGATCAAGACGATCACTGAAAAGGCAGGGAGGCCTGCAGGGTTGTGTGTCCTGGCCCAGGGTTTTTGAAGTCTCGGCTTTGGCTGGTTGGGACCCTGAAGAATCATTAGTCTTGCAGGCTGACCTTTAATTTTGTGCCTGATGAAGCTGAGACCCAAGACTGTCATTTTGAGTCATAGACAGTGTTCATATGCTGGCCTCTGGACTTCGTGCCCAGAGCTTTTCCCTGCCCTGGCAGGAAAACAAGACTCCCTAGACCACAAGAAATTGAGTCAGGCTTGTTGGGGACTGGAGGCAAAATCTGGGCCGAAGAGTGGGCAAAGATGAGACAGGCCAGCTACTGGCGGAGGCCCCATTTACCTGACCCTTTGATAACCGCCAGAACTGCCAAGAGATACTCACTAGGAGAAACCTTTCATCAGAAGTTTTCCCGCTCTCCTTACTCTCCACCCTCTTCCTATTTTCCACTTAGGGTTTCTTCATGCTTTCCTGGGACTAGAGGAAACGTCGGTCGTGTCTGGAAAATGCACCACTTTTGACTTTGGGTAAAACTTTATACTCAGACCTCTACACGTCCCTGATAAGTCAAGAGAAGCCTTGAGAAACTTGAAATCTCTTTTTCTCCCACCAAAGTCAGGCATTGGAGATTATTATCTTGCTAAGGATTTAAGGTCTTATTCTGGAAGTCATTGTGTGAATTTTTAATATTTGCCTGTTATTTTGGAAGATTCCAGACAGTTACAAATAGGACAGTATAATGAACCTCCAATGGGGCCATCACCCTCCTTGAACAACAGTCAACTCACTGCCAATCATATTTCATTTATACCCATTTTCTCCATGCCATCATTTTAAAGCAAATCCAAGATATTGTATCATTTTAATTGTAGATATTTACAGAAATCAAGGAAGCTATCAATCACTTCCAGATTATGTCAGGAAGACTAAGGAATCAATTGAAATAGGCTCCCCCTAGACAAGGATGGATCAATCTGAGCACCAAAAATTGATAATAATTGCAATTATTTCAAATGTATCAAGTATGATTATATCTGTAAGTTCATAATGATCCTATAGTAACTCTATAGGTCACTGTTGATGGGTAAGAAGGAATGAACTCATTATTTTGAAATTGTTTTAGAAAAAAGAAAACAATCATGGATTTTGCCTTTTCCATACAAATTGGACTTCAGGGTAACCAATTGTGTGTGCTAAGTCCCTTCAGTCCAGTCTGACTCTTTGCAACCCTATGGACTGTAACCCACCAGGCTCCTCTGTCCATGGGATTCTCCAGGCAAGAATACTGGAGTGGATTGTCATGCCCTCCTCCAGGGGATCTTCCTGACCCCGGGATGGAACCCAAGCCCCCTGCGCTGGGAGCACAGAGTCTTAGCCACTGGACCACTGTGGAAGTTCCACATCATTGGAATTTTTTTACAGGAAGAAATGGCTCTAGGGTTATAGTAATAATAAACAACTTTACATTGTTTTTGACTTGACATTTAGTCTAAAGGAAAACAAAATTCTACTAACTTTTCTTAAGGGCAAAGTGAAAGAAAGAAAACTGAGTGAGCCAGGGAGTTGTGGGCAACAAAAGTAAAGATGAAGTATTTATATTTTACTTTGTCAGTTTAACCATCTCTTTTTTCCCTCTCTTCTAACGCGATACTGTTTCTCCTACTTTCTATTATAATTTCTGGCTTTTCTGTTATCAATATCTATAGGCAATAGAACACAAATGAAGGATTCAATGTGCACAAAAGCATAGTTCCCAACCGTGACTGTTGTTAAACCTTAGAATCGATGGGTGGTAGTTTTAAAAGACTCCCGGCAATGACCTCCTATTTTCCCCCTTATTATGAGCTCCTTGAGGGCAAGAATCAGTATCATGTATTTTCCAGCATCAAGCACAGTGCTTGACATCCATTCAGCATATAGCTGTGGAATGAATTAATGAGTTGCAGCAAATGCAGTTCATTTAAGGAGAGTGGGCCAATCAGAAGGGTAAAGGCTATACAGCAGTAACAAGGAGCTCAGAAAATCACAGTGACTTAAGACAACAAAGGTCTCTGTTTCTCATTCACACTACCTGTGCTCTGTGAATTTTGCTGAGTCATCCTCATGCCTGTCTCCAAGTTGGTCACTATCTAGAACACTGCCAGTTGCTGTCACAAAGAAAAGATACATGGCAAATCTTGTACTTGCTTCAGTTTGGAAGTGATGCATTGAGGCTACTCTCACTTCACTAACTAAAGCAAAAAGCATGGCCATATCTATCTTCAAGGAAGCAAGAAAGTACAGTTGCATTATGTGATTGGGAGAAGAATGGTAAGATTTAGTGGCCAGCACTAATGACTGCCATGATGGAGCCAAAAAAAAAAAGAGAGAGAGAGAGAACTAACATTTATTATGCACCTATCATGAACTAGAAGTTTTCACCTATCTCTTCTCAATCTCATGAGTTTTTGCACTCTTACTAGTCCCATTTTACAGATGAATAAACTGAGGCTTGGTGAGGCTAAGTAGCTTGCCGATATTAAGCAGCTCTCATTTGTACCCAATATTGGCTCCAAATTCCACATTCTTTCTGCTAATCCTCACTGTATATGACTGAAGTTTTTGGTCCCTGCCTAAGTAACAGTAAGCTGCCTTTTTCCTGTGGGGATTACATGCTTAGGTGATTCCAGCAGATTTTTTTTTTTTTTTTAACCACCAGCTGGTCTACAATCTAGCATAACTATCTATTTTCTAAGAGGATCCATTTTGCATAGTTAAAAGTCAAAATAAATATCAAAATAAAAGCCCAGTGTACTCTAAAAAATGTTCTTCTCAGGTCTCCAACCCTGAGACGACTTTGTTTTCCTTTGCCTTTGGCTCATTTTTTGGCCAATGGCTCTCCCCTTCCAGTTCAATGAGAACCATAAAAGCAGAAAAAAAATACCTGTGGGGTTAAGGGAGGCAGTACAGGCTTCTTTGCTTTTGACAGTGGTTTCTGCAATAGCACTTAAAGCAACACACCCAAATCATTGCTCTTTCTTCTTTCTCTTATTCCTCCTCTTCTTCTTCCATCTATTTAGGAAATGAGAAATGATGAATGCCTGTTATTTTTACATTAGGGACAGAAATATTTTGTAGGCTTAAATGATCAGGAAACACAAAAAGTGAATTTCTCTTTGCACTACCGTCTCAGCTCAGGGCTCCTGGGCACTGAGGTAGGTGTAATGTTGAGGCAGGGCTCAGAGGAGGGTGGGAGCACAGGCCATCTATCAGTTGCATCAAGCAACCTGCAGTCTAAAACTCTGGCTGTCTTCCTGACTCCTGCAGGGACCTTCTGAGTGACCTCCAGGGTGCTCTTCAGCCTCTCAGAGTCACATCAGCAAGGAAATAAGGACAAATAATACTGGTAAAAGGAGATACACTGGGGAAGAGGCCTCGATTCAGGACAGCCCGTCCAGAGGGCAAGCAAGGAGCACTTCTTTCTAAAAGCTCAAAAAGTTGTGCTCCTGCTGCTTTCCTCCTTAAAGTTCATTCTCTCTCACCTATCTCTGACTCAGAATTCCAATATAAAGTTCAAATATTGGAATAGAAGTGTGCCTTGAGCCAGTAGGAATATGCTACTGTATCCTTGGTTTTGAATACCGAGATAAAATATTTGTTTTAGTCACTTCTTACAAGTAGTATGAATGAGTCACTAGTCTTTTTCCCAGCTCAGGGGTGTTCAGCAGCACCCAAACCCTCCATATGATGAATGCACGTATGTGGTGGGGAGGAGTCCTAGTATCATGGGAACAGGCCTCCCCTGGTCTAGTACTAGGACTCAGTCCATAAATCTACTTGGTACTCATGCTCACCATCTCCCCAAATTAGCCTTTATTGCTAAAAATAGTGATCATTTCTCTATCATTCCACCTGACAGTCCTTTCTGCTTATTTCTCAGTTTGTTCAGGATGAAAATGGAAGACAGGTGACATATAATGAACTCCTTAAATACTCAAAAGATTAGGTTGGCCAAAAAATTCATCTGGTTTTCCGTAACATCCTATAGCAAAACCTGAATGAACTTTTTGGCCAACCCAATATTTCTACATGACTCATAACTCCTGCTTCCTGGTCCCTAGTGATGAATCATTTTCAAAGGTTTTGTTGTCTTATTTTTTTCCCCCCCTGGTATTTATCACAATCTTTTGAGTTAGTAGGATCATTTTATTATTACAAGATTTTTCTGATTTGAATGTTAGCTGTTAAATTCCTATTGTGGAAGAAAAAGATTTCTTCCTCTTACAATATTCACCCCGGTCCCCAAAGCCCTCATCTCTACAGAACCCTGTCCCCAACCTTTCAATATAGCCATGTCGCCATTCTGAATAAATGAATATTCACATCCTTTAATGAGCACATTTTAAATTATGCAAACATAATCATCAGTTGGGTTGCAGAGTATACTAATTCACTTCAAACTCTCTAATAGAACTGTACACTGCCCCTCAGTACTTTTAGGTGGAGGGAATTTCAGTTGATCTGCCAGTTTCATGTTTTCCCTTCAGGAGACCTCAGTCCCGGAGCCCCGTGCCCTCCTGTTGCCATGAGAACCACCAGCTGCCCAGACCTGCTGCATGGGTATCATCCTGGGAATTCTCTTTGTGTTGAGAGCCCTGTTTCCTCAATCCTCTTTTCTTCTTTACTTTCCTGCTAACTGGAGCACAGCCTCCGGTGTCTTCTGTGGAGTCCTGCCCAAAGGCCACAGACACGGAGCCCAGAACCAAGGTCACCTCCGAAACTGACTGAGCCTCTTTGTAACCATTGCCAGAAGCCCCCATGATCATCACCAGCAGGCTTCTCGATCCCATTTGAGACAAAAATGCCCACCACACTGCTTACCCCATAGCACCTTAACCAATCACCTAAAGCCAGCCTTTCAGCAGGAATTGTCTTTGTCTTAAGGCTGCAAAAACTAACCCTTAAAAACCATCGACTTTCTCTGGTGGTCAACCCGCTATACTTGCAGCACCTACATTATCTGTGCTCTTTGTTCTTAATAAACTCACCCCTTTCTGCAATACTTTTGTGTCTGGAAATTCCTTTCCAACTCGCATTATGACTGCCACATCTTCAGAAGGGGACATGGGAGAAATCTTGAATGCTTGTGTGTCTGAAATGTCTTTATCTTCCTCTTATGCTCTGTTCAAAGCCTGGCTTTGTGTAAATTCTTGGGTAAGAAATGATTGTCTCTTGGAATTTTTAAGGCACTTATTTCTTTCCTGTCTTTGATGTTTCATTGTTGCTGTAGAGAAGCCTGATGCTGTTCAGATTCCTGGTCCTTTTTGATGGGATCTAGTTTCTTTTTTGCGAAGATTTTAGAGCCGTCCCATTTCTCACAGTATTATAAAGCTTCATGATGATGTTCCCTGGAGTGGATCTTTTTTCATTCTTTTTTTTTTTTTTCTGCTTTAGAAACTCATATATGTCTGGTAAATTACTTTTGTGTATACTTAAAAAATAATTTTCTTCTCTTCATTATCTGTGCTTTTTTGGTATCTCTGATTTTGAAATTGCTAGCCTGATCCTCTAAGGAAGATGTTTTTTCCCTCCATTTTCCATCTCTTGAGAGATTGTTGGTATTATCATTTAACCCTTCTAGTGTTAAAAAATTTCAGCTTATTTAATTTTTAATTTTTAAAAGTTCTGTTTTGGTCTTTGCACATTTCTTTTATGTATAGTTTCCTGTTTCTATTCCTTAGGTCAGTGAGCATCTCTTCTCTCTTTGAGGCACTGTATGCTTCATGAAGCCATGGGCTTTTTCTGCTTTGTTTGCTGCTTATGGTTCAACATCTAGAAAAAATGACTGCCCAGTGTAATAAGCATTCAGTAAGTATCTTTGAATGAATGAGAATATTTATTATGTTTATTGCAAGTTTTCTTCTTCTCCCTGAAGTTTCAGTTTCCTACAAGTTTCTTTTTGCTATTTGTTCTGGCTTATTTATCTTTTCACAGGCCTTTGTAAAATGTCTGGTCTGCTTGGTATCTATTAATAGCTGAGTAAGACACTAAAATGCTAATTCAAAGCTCAAGGGTTTTACTCCATGGTAATCAAGTGGGAACTTAGCCATTCCATTGCTGGAAGCACAAGGGTCAGGATCTCCATAATTTAACTTGGGCTGATCCACTTCTCCATAGAAGAGTTCTCAAGCTCCTGTCAGCTATTTATTCCCAGTGGCTGGTGTTATGAGAGCTGAGCAAGAAAAGAGGTTGAAGGAGTTTCATTTTTCAATTGATCGACTTTAAGGTAGCTCACACTTGACCATGGCTTTGCTCAATATCCCAGACAACCCTGGGTGAGTTTCTTCAGTGGGTCAACCTCAGTCTTCTGCCAAGCGGGAAGGGTTGTCTCTTGGCTATACAGGATGGGGACAGGTCTTCAAAGATCTTATTACTTCTTTAAGACTTTCAATCAAACTTCCTATTTTTAGCCCCATCCTGTATCCCTGCTCAGTTGGTTTTCTGTTGCTGCTATAACAAACTAGCTTAAAATTAGTGTCTTTGAAAAACATATATTTATTACTTTACAGTTCTATAAGGTCAGAAGTCCAGTATGGTCTCACTGGATTGAAGTCAAGGTGTCAGCAAAGCCCCTGGTGTCAGCAAAGACCCTTTCTTGGAGGCTTGTGGGGAGAGTATGTTTCTGCTCATTCAGATGTTGGGGGATTTAATTCCATACAGTTGTAGGACTGAAGTCTCTGTTTTATGTGCTGGCTGTCAGCTGGGGTCACACACACAAAAATCTCTTTTTGCGGTTCATAATGAAGGCTAATAGATCACAGATGTTTTGTGTTTAATCGTTTAGTTTTATTTGGTCCACTTTGTGCTACAAATCTGCTTAGAGAGGAGAGAGTCCTTTTCTCTCCTCCCTCACATTCCAGTTTATTCCTGCTGTGTTCAGTTGTTCAGACATGTCCAGCTCTTTGTGACCCCATGTAGCCCACCAGGCTCCTCTGTTAATGGAATTTTTCAGGCAAGAATGCTAGAGCAGGTTGCCATTTCCTACTCCAGGGGATCTTCCCAACCCAGGGATCAATCCTGGGATTCTCACATCTCCTGCATTGGCGGGAGGATTCTTTATCACTGAGCCACCAGGGAAGCCCCCAGTTTATTTACATGGTGCATTAGTTTCCTTGGGCTGCCAAAACAAATTGTCACAAACATTGTGGCTTAAAACAACACAAATGTATTCTCTCACAGTTCTGGAGGCTAGAAGTCTGAAATAAGGTGTTGGCAGGGCCATGCTCCCTCTGAAGGCTCCTTTCTTACTTCTCAGATTCTCTGGTGGGTCCTGACAAACCCTGGCATTCCTTGGCTTGTAGCAGCACCACTCCATTCTCTACCTGTTTTCCCCATGACCTTCTTTGTGCCTCTTTCTGCATCTGCTCCTCTTCTTATAAAATCACCAGTCATTGGATTTAAGACCCATTCGAAATCCAGGATGACTTCCTCTTGGGTTCTTTACTTAATATTTGCAAAGACCAAATTTCCAAGGAAGATCACATTCCTAGGTGTCAGGAAGACTTGAATTTCAGGAAGCCTTTTTCAGCCTACTGTATGTGAAGAGAAGAGTCCAGGTCTGAGAAAATGAGAAGGTTTGCCTGCATTCTGACCACTCCAGCCTAGCCAATTCTATGTGAAATTGTGGTACCAAAGTGTATTATATTTTTCTCTGTTAACCTGTATCTTCAATTTCTGTTGTTCCAAGCAAGAGATTAGATTTCTCATGCCTTGTCACTTATTTTAAGGGCGTATCATTGAGCTCAGAAACATTATCTATTACTTAAAAAAAAAAATTCTCCCTTCATTTTCCCAATATCATTATGTTTTTCAGAAATTCTTTTATCATTGGTAATTTGGGATAGAGCCATATCCTGGGTTCATGGTAGATGGAAGTGCCTCCACTGTGTGATTTTATTTTGTTGTTAATTTGGAAGCATTTGAGTGGGACAAGTGAGGAAGTTATATATAGTATTACCTTTATAGAAAGACTACTTTTTTCCCCAAAGAGCTACATAATATCTAGTGGGTAATTTATTAAACAATTTCCTTATTACCCTATTATTGATTTCCAATTATAAATAACACTGCAGTGGACAATATCATACTTGTAACTCAGTGTGGACACTCTTGTTTACCTTGAAGTATGTTTCTTGTTACTGGGAACTCATGTGTGTGTTTTTCTTAGAAGTAGATTGAGGAGGTTAAGCCTTCTCTCCTGATGCTCTTCCACAGACGTCTTTACTTCATCCAATAACCAGTGGATATTCTATCTTGTAATTAATTCACTGGGTAAGCCAATGGGCTGCCAGTCCTGTCTTGACTAAAGTCTTTAGCAAAGTATTAGATTTTAAAATTCACACACCTATGGTCAATTAACCTATGACAAAGGAAGCAAGAAGATACAACAGAGAAAAGATAGTTTCTTTAGTAAGTGGTGCTGGGAAAACTGGACAACTACGTGTAAAAGAATGAGGTGTAAACATTCTCTGGCACCATATACAAAAATAAACTCAAAGTGGATTAAAGACCTAAATGTACAGCTGGACACTATAAAACTCCTAGAGGAAAACACAGGCAGAACACTTGGACATAAACTGCAGCAATATCTTTTTGGATCTGTCTCCTAGAGTAATGGCTTCCCAGGTGGTGCGGTGGTAAAGAATCTGCCTTCCAATGCAGGAGACATAAGTCATGGGTTCGATCCCTGGGCTGGGAAGATGCCCTGGAGGAGGGCATGGCAACCCACTCCAGTATTCTTGCTGGGAAAATTCCATGGACAGAGGCTCCTGGCGGGCTACAGTCTGGGGGGGTTGCAAAGAGTCAGACACGACTGAGCCTGCACACGCTACCTGGAGTAATGGAAATAAAAACAAAAATAAACAAATGGGACCTAACTAAATTTAAAAGCTTTTACACAGCAAAGGAAATCATAAACAAAATGAAGAGACAGCCTACAAAATGGGAGAAAATATTTGCAAATGATGCAACTGACAAGGGATTAATTTTCAAAATGTACAAATAGTTCATATAATTCAGTATCAGTAAAACCAAACAACCCATTAAAAAAAAATGGGCTGAAGATCTAAATAGACATTTCTCCAAAGGAGACATAGAGATGGCAACAGGCACATAAAAAAGATGTCAACATCACTAATAATTAGAGAAATCCAGATCAAAACTACAATGAGGTATCACCTCACACTGGTCAGAATGCATGCATGCGTGCTTAGCTGCTTCAGTTGTGTCTGACTTTATGTGATCTTATGGGCTGGAGCCTGTCAGGCTCCTCTGAGAACAGCCATCATCAAAGAGTCTACAAATAATAAATGCTAGCGAGGGTGTGGTGAAAAAGGAACCCTCCTGCACTGTGGGTGAAAATATAAATTGGTGCAGTCACTATGGAGTACAGTATGGAGATTCCTTAAAATATTAAAAATAGAGCTACCCTATGATACTGCAGTCCCACTTTGGGGCATGTGTATGGAGAAAACTGTAACTTGAAAAGATATGTGCACCCTAGCATTCACAGCAGCACTATTTATAATAGCCAGGACATGGAAGCAACCTAAATGTCCATTAACAGATGAATGGATAAAGATAATTCAGTATCAGTAAAACCAAACAACCCATTAAAAAAAAATGGGCTGAAGATCTAAATAGACATTTCTCCAAAGGAGACATAGAGATGGCAACAGGCACATAAAAAAGATGTCAACATCACTAATAATTAGAGAAATCCAGATCAAAACTACAATGAGGTATCACCTCACACTGGTCAGAATGCATGCATGCGTGCTTAGCTGCTTCAGTTGTGTCTGACTTTATGTGATCTTATGGGCTGGAGCCTGTCAGGCTCCTCTGAGAACAGCCATCATCAAAGAGTCTACAAATAATAAATGCTAGCGAGGGTGTGGTGAAAAAGGAACCCTCCTGCACTGTGGGTGAAAATATAAATTGGTGCGGTCACTATGGAGTACAGTATGGAGATTCCT